TCGGGTTTGAAAAAGGATTTATAGGTCGAAGTAATTAACACAACTTGTTATCTTGTTAATCATTCTCCCGAGTATTGTCATTGATTGTAAGACTCCAAATGAGATATGATCGGGTAAGTCTAGTGATTATTCAAATTTAAAAGTATCCGGATGCTCTATTTATTATCATATTAAAGATGATAAACTTAAACCTAGAGCAAAGAAATGCATATTTGTTGGCTACACTGATAGGGTGACGGGTTATCATCTATAATGCCCCGAACCCAATTTATCTAAATTTATTATAAATAGAGAGGTTACTTTTAATGAGAGATATATGTTTGATCAAGGAAAGATTGTTTGTTAGCGGATAGTTTTGCAAATCTTGCTCATAAACATCGCTCTAAATTTACTTATATGCAATATAAGGAATTACTTACAAATATTAGGAATATTTATACTTATGATTCATTTGGAATATATAGCTATAGAAAATAGCATTATCCATGTATTTTTTGGGGTTAGCACCCTCCCTCGATTTATGGGTTTGGCTTAGGGGTGTTCACTATTCGGTTAAAACCGACATATCGAATCGAATCGAACCGAATTAACAATTTCGATTCGGTTTGGTTTTTTTTTCAAATTCGGTTTCCATCGAAAACCGAATTAGGTTTTTTTTTAAACACATACTCAAACTCTTTTTTTAAAAAAAAAATTCAAAGAGGCACCTATGGGTTTAACTAAAAGAACAATAGCTTTAATGATTTTTTTTCTACTTAAAATAGAAATATTTTCATTAATTATTTATTGAAATAAAAAATAATTGATTATATTATATTGACTCACAAAAAAATTAAAAAAAAGACTATGATAAAGAAATTCTTTATGAAAACACAAATTTATAGGTGAATCCTAAAACCTCATGAAAAAAAAAGCTGTCTCCTTGTATTAAAATTGACACAAACATAAATTAAAAATTGAATTTTTCATATTATATATTCAACAATAAAATATACACAAAATAAATAGATTAGAAAAAAAGAATATGAAAAATTAATTAAAAAAACCAATTATAGCGTGATTGAAAAAATAATGAGAAACCCAACTAATTTAGTTTATAATACAAATAGAAACATATTTATTATAGAAAAATACTAATAATCATACATAATTTTCTTATAAAATCAAATGTGAAATATGCAATCTTTGATTATGCAAGTTTGATATTTTTTAAAAGCAAAATAATTCAATTTTTAGAAGAAAAATGCAAAAAAAAAATTTCGATTTTAACGGAAAACCGAAAAACCGAACCGAAAAATTTGGTTTTTAACCAAAAAACCGAACAACAATTCGGTTCGGTTTTTGTTTTAGCCAATTTGGTTAACCAAAAATCGAAAGAAACACCGAAACCAAACCGAAAAACCGAATGAACACTCCTAGTTTGGCTGGAACTGGAACGCCCCTTATATGTTGATTCCCACCTAATAAAACTTTCTCGAGTACCGCCCGTATTTCTAAAAATTTAAAAAAAAATTAATGAACTTTTGATCAATATATTATATATTTTATTTATATAATATTAATATAACATATGTGTATATATAATATAATATAATTATTAGTAGTCCGTTGTTTTCTAACAATGTTATATATTTAAAGTATTTTTTTATTAATATACTAATGTACATATATGCAAATAATAGATGGTGTACCACTTTAGTTTTAAATTTTCAGTCGGTTTAAATTGAAAAAAAATCTCTTTTCTTTTTCTAAAACTTAAATTTTCTTTTATCAAAACAAGAAAAACACTTTAAAGTTTTTTAATCTATCGTCTTATGCCGTGACAAAATTCATTGCAAGTAGAAGAATTTAATTTTTCAAAAAAAAAAAAAAAGTTTAGGTGATAAGAATAAGGGAGTACTTGCAAAGGTGGAATCTCTCTATGCAAAGTGGCAACTATAATATAAAAATATCATGAAACAAATGAGTAGCTAACCTCGGGAGCATAAATAGATCGGATCTTAACCCTAATTTGAAGTAATAAAATGAGTCCGATAATGTTTTTTTTATCCGAGCCTAATTATGATTCGAATATGTTAGTGCATGTTATTAAATAGGTCAAATCTAAATATACTTTGATCCGATTCAATAATAATCTAACTCGAAATTTAGAATAATATTTTTAATAAATATAACATATTAAAATTATTAAAACTTTAAACATGAAAGAAATATATAAATACGATACTAGATGCAAATTAGAGTTTATTTATTCTAAAGTTCAAATAATGCATATCCTTCCACAATGAGAGATTGTATTTTTTTTAAAAAAAAATTCACATATCGGTTTAATATTTTGCAATGATAGAAAACCAATTGTGATGCATTTTTTATTCTTGTAAATATTGCTAGTGATATTCTAGCTATTTCAATTGTTGCTTCAAGTTGCATTTAGTATGAGAAGTAGAATTATTGATAATTATTGTGCATGTTTACTTCAAGAGATTGTGGATGCAATAACTAATACAGGTGATTGGCTTTTAAATTGAAATATAAAAACCTATGGTATTTTATTTGTTTAAGTTTATTACATTTCTACTCTTTATGGATTAACCAATTATTAAAGTTATTGTTTATATATATTTTTTTAACACGCTTATGATTTTTGTATGGTAGGGGCTATTGTGGTGTTAAGCAATGAATATATTCAAAAGTAATTATTCCATTTGTTTCACACTTGATGATAAGAATCATAGCATGTAGAACCAACTTTTTATGAATTGAATCTTATTTTAGTATTTTAATGTTAGACATAAAAATATAGTTCAAACTAATTGAAATGATAGAGATAGACAATAGAGTGATTTGCATAAATTCTTTTATAACACTTAAATATATATCTAAATTATATACATATATATATATTTCATTTCACTTATTGAAATAAGGTGTAAAAACAAATAGTTGTAGATTAGAACTTGAAATACTAAAAAATTTGTATTAATTTTCTACAAAAGTCAAATAATAAATCTAATGAAACTTTGAATCAAATTCAAATTTTTATTTTTAAAAATCAATTGAAATTTATAAGATTCGATCAAATCCGTTTTATTAAATAAATTAGGATACACAACACTAGCTAACACCACCCGAATACCATTCTAAATCCCCATCAAATTGGACAGCCCATCAACACTCCAGTACTATTTTAAACAAGCATAGTCTGGATTTTAAAACTTTAAAATTTGAATGGATAGATCCCTGGATTTATTAAATAGGGCCAGGTCATTTCATAAAAGTCAAATTTGGTTTTCAATGTTTTTTCTTGTCATTTCATCATAAATCAACTTCCAATTGCCGTTACGTTTTTTTATTCTTATTCGATGATCATAAATATCTTTTGATCAATTTATGACCAATAGAAACAGGTGCTGTTGTGTTTTTTTTAGAACCGTAGAAACTGAATCTATTTAACTGAAATGTGATGAAATGAAAATGCATTGTGGAATTTAACCTCTTGATCTTTCACATGCACCTTCTACCAATCTCTAATCTTCTAATTCAAGTGTAATTTTACGCACTAAATAAAGATCCTATAAAAATGCAATTTGACTTTGTAAATTGGACTATATATTTCGTTCCCATTTATCAAAATTAAAGCAGTTTTATATATTTCGTTCCCATTTATCAAAATTAAAGCAGTTTTGTTGAGTCTGTAATTGAATATATATATATATATATATATATAACTCTTCCACGATACCCACTTCATGTTTACAAGACATGTACATGGAGTACGTTACAAAAGATTTTATTTAATTATAACACGGATTGTACGTAGAAATCAAACATGATTAGATTAATTTAGGATTTACTTTGCCCTCCTATTTATGCTTTTGAGTAAAGCATTAATCCTTCAATTAGCTTATTGCCTCTATTCTGTTTTTTGTTTTTTTCCCTTAAAAATAATCTTTTTATCAAACACTTGTGTTTTTAAAAATTGTACCAAAAGTTGTTTCAATTACAAGCACAATATGACCAAACAGAACCTTAATCTGATTTTTTGTCCAAAACAACCGGACAAGTGGCTATTGATTTCTTACTGTTTCTTCTTGAGAAGTATTGCATGCATCCATTTGATTTGGTAATTCACTTTTTTTTGTTAATTAAATATAGGAAGTAATTAATTGTAAACATCAATATCATTCAAAATATGTTCTCCAAAGAATTCTTTTTTTTTAAAAAAAAAAAAACTCACCAAACAATAGGTTGTTTGCCTAGTGATAAACAAGTTGGTTTTCGAAATTTTTTTTATGGATATATAAAATCTTAAAATTATGCCCTTATTGAAATTAGGTGATAAACCTTATCGCTTCCATGCAGAGTATGATTTGTTCAATCTCTAACGTAGAATGAAGATATTTGACTAAAACTTTAAAAAAAAAAACCCAACAAACTAACTATTGTAAATGTCACAGTTATAACCAAATATCTTAACCCTTCAACTAATTAATGACGTTAGCTAATCAAGATTAGCAAGAAATTTTTTTCCCTCTTTTTATGCATGTATGCTTGTTTATGTAAAATTGGCAAGTATATTCCTAACCTCTCAAAGTTTCCCACGCTTTTGAAGAAACCGTAAGATATGTTCATTTTCTAATTTTTGCTGACGCTCTAAAAACTGTGTGAGAGCAACTTTTACGTACTTTTCTGGGCCACGTTTTTTGAGCTTCTAACTATACCAAAATTCAATGCTTCAAGGTTTGAATTTGTAAAAGATGGCCACCTTTCGAAGAGTGAAAGCAACACTATTTTTTTCTTGCACACACCATTTGTTACGTAGAAGCAACATTCTCTCATCCCCTCTCTAAATCTAGTCTCTCAAAATCCTCTTATGCTATCCAAAATATCTATATATATATACTTGCGCGAAGTGTCGTTTCAAGAAGCATAACCAAAAGCACACATGCAGTAGAAGAACACTTGCAATAACACCTTCCATCTTCATATTTTATAGACAAATGGCTGCTAAAACCAAAGACAGCTCCATCCACGGCAAGACATTTTCGGGGTTTGGCAACCTCATCAAGCTCCTTCCAACAGGAACAGTCTTTTTGTTCCAATTCCTAAACCCTGTCCTGACCAACAATGGTCACTGCCACACCGTTAATAAGTACTTAAGCGGCATTCTCATAGGCCTTTGTGGCTTCTCTTGCTGCTTCTCTTCCTTCACCGACAGTTACAAAGGCAGTGATGGCTTGACTCACTACGGAATTGCAACCATGAAAGGGCTTTGGCCATCTTCATCAGATTCTGCTGGGTCTTCTGTGGACCTGTCAAGCTACAAGCTTCGAGTTGGTGACTTTGTTCATGCTTTCTTTTCCTTGATCGTGTTTGCTGTGTTGTCCCTGTTGGATAGCAACACGGTGGAGTGCTTTTACCCTTCTTTCGAGTCCACCGAGAAGGTTTTGCTCATGGTGTTGCCTCCTGCTATTGGTGCAATTTCGGGTACTGTGTTCATGTTGTTTCCAAACAAGCGCCATGGAATTGGATACCCTTCTAGTGATTCTTCAAAGAACTCTTAGTGCTAATTACATCTATCTATACTTGATAATTAGGTTGCAAAAGTCTTGAAGAAATTGGTTTGTTGTTTGCAGCACTATTCCCTGAGAATGCTTCTTATAATTTGAGTTTGTATGATTTGTTTAAAAATGAAAGATCAGGGAGGAACGGACGCATCACTTCCCTTCAATATGTGTAATAAGTTCGTATTTTGTCATGTTAAGAGGTCATGCGATTTGTATTGATTAATTCCATTTGTGAATTTGAAGCTGAAGACTAATTCGGCTCAACTCCAGCTAATTAGCAGCACTACTAATCAATAAATCCTTCCCTTCTGTCACCGAGGGTTAGGACCAGCTTGTCACAAGAAGCTAAACGCAGACCCAATAATAAACTCATTTTGCTTGATTGTTGAAGGTATTTTTGGGTATATAGGGTAGGTTTCGATCCCTTTTGATAATACTGTCATACGTACCCTTGATTTGAAGGGGTTCACGAGAAACTTGGATAATTCTTAAGGAAAAGTAAACTCATCACCAAGTTGACGTACGTATAAAAATACATAGATACTCACACACACGCAATTAAATATTGAGTATATTATAAATTAGTCTCTAATTTTTTTATAGACTAATTAATTAGTTTTTCTTGCTTCAAAAATTAATAATTTAATTTGTTGGCTAGTGCTTATCATACTTAATTTAATATTAATTTATTTTAAAAAAATTGTCTTTTTTTTTCAATCAATCCTTTCATATTTTTTTATTTCTTAAAATAATATTTTAAAATCAATATAAATTAAAAAAAAATACAAGAAAATTTTAAAATTAAAAACTAAATAATTAATTTTTGAAACAACAAAAGACTAATTAATTATTTTTCGAAACTAGCTTAACTATAGGGATGGATCCACCGAATTCTCACTTCCGATTCGACCTTGTAAGTGCAGGTCACCCACAAGGATCAAGTTAACTAGCCTATAAGCCCCATCAACCCAAGCCTAACCGGAGCATCCATCAGCAGCATTGAAAGTAAAGGGGAAATGCTAGGACGGTAGGAAAAGGCTACCATTTTGGATAGTACCAAAAAAAAAAAAAGAAAAAAACAGTTTGAATCTTTACGTGTGGCAACAAAAGGAGGGTACACATAAGGAAAGTTTTATCATACATCGATCTATTTATAACAGATTGATTTTGTCCTGTCCTGTAAATGATGCACTTTGAATTTGATCATCCATAATTAAGATCAAATCATAGACAGTTTTACTATAAAGAACAAAAAATAGAGCTTACTTTATCCAAGAAAAATTTCAAGTTTTCAACTTCCATATACCTCTAGAAGACCAAGGATTTGTTATTCTTACAACTCTCTGCTTTTCTTGCTGGCCTCCTCTAATTGGAGTCTCTTGATAACCCTCGCCTACTTTTATGATGTCGGCTTTAACTATGTGATGATCAGAGGTGCCTTTGGATGAGATCACTGAATATGATCCTGGAACAAACTTGTAGGGCGAGTTTGGTGATGCCAAAACGTAATCCACTCTTGTGCCATACTTGCATGTTCCTTGCACATCTAGTTCAACAGATTTATGACATGCAAACTTTATCATTTCAAAAGAAGGAAAGAAAAAAAGTGACAACTTTGATTAAATTTTGGCAAAGAAACCTAGACAAGGTTGTTTAATTACTTTGGCCTTTTGCAATGATGACTACTGGCTCGCATTCACCTGCATAGTCCTTTGCATCTACATATCCTTTTCCCTTCAGAAACTTAGTCACTTCGATCCTTGGTGTTGGCTTTCCTATGTCCTCGTAGTACTGGAAGATCCATAACGGCCAGGTCGGAAGAAGTAGAAAAGGCATTAATGTAGATTGTAATGATATTTTTGTTAAATCTTACCTTCACAATGTCCATCCATCTATCTGACGAGTAATCTGATCCATCAAGAGAATTGATACCTCCTGCCAATATGTGAGGAGTCATGTCATTTGATTGTATTATTGCGCCTATCTGTTTCATTCTCCAGTTTTCATCCAAATGGTCTAATTGGGTGCAGTAAAAGTCTACTTCTCCTGCCCATGGCACATATATTGTAGCCTTCAGTACATTCCTGCATTACAGACAGACAAAGTTTTGCCCGTTGCGCTTTAAGTTCGAGATTCTCAGGAAGAATGTTTGCTAATATGAAAATCAGGTTGATGCTTGTAGAGAGCAGTAATTCATCTGTTTCAAGTTATAATATTACTTCCTAGTTTCCTAGATCATTCGGGCAGAGGAGCTCTTCTAACTTAGCTTAATTCATAAGAAAAACATGAAAATCTGAAGATAGTCCATGATCAATGTCTGATAGTCTCTGCCTATCCATTAGAAATTCCAAATGCAAAATTGTTTGCCTTAACAAAAAATAAACTTAGTAGTTCTATACAGAATTAATTTGCATGTTTAGCATAACAGTGGAAAGTGCAAGTACCTGAAATCTTCATCATTGGCGATCTTCTGAACTTTCCACCTTTTGATTGGCCACTTCGACAAAATGGCATTTCCATATCCTGGTGCCCAGCTCTCTGCAAACACATATTTCATCCCCAAGGAAGCAGCCAAATCTGAAAGAGGACTCATGCCTTTCTCTTCATCTGCCTTGACATCTTGCAGGGCCAAGATATCAGCATCCACTTCTTTTAAGACTTCCATAATGCTTCTGCTGCTTTTCCAGCCTTCTTCACTTCTGAACTGAGTCATATTGGCCGGCAAGCAGACAGGAGATCTCATCACAGCATTGCTTCTATAGTTTCTGCTAGCAATAATGTTCGATGACCCCTCCCTTTCATCCTCCACAAAGCCAAGAAATTTACTATTTGCTAACGAAATCTCATTATCAGGAAGATTAATTGAAACCTTCAGTTTTGATCTCGATACCTTCTTTTGTGTGGAGACTTGCTCTGAATTTTTCAGGCTATCATGCAAGGGAGATTGTTTGAGTATGCTCTTGGGATAATAGCTCACAGAGTTTACTTGAGTATCCAATTCCACCTGACTCTTGTATGTAATATAACCTTCATGTTCTTGGCTGAACATAATTGATTCCTCGGCCTTGGGAACTGCAGGTGCAAGAGAGAACATGGCAACATTGAATGTAGCAATTCGAATCGGTCTTTTAGAACTAGAATTGCCATGCTTGCCATTCAGATGAATTGAAGATTTATGAAAGCCTGGACGCCACTTACATCGATCCTTAGAGCTTATTTTTCCAAACCTTTTGATTATGACTTTTGGCCTTGGACGCCTCCATATCAGCCCCCGTATACTTGCACAGAGCTGCCGCAGCTTCCTGCTTATCAGACTCAACATGTAAGATGATTATTTCGCAGATCGTTTTAACCTTTCTCGATGCCGTAAGTTTCAGGGTTTTAGCACTGTCTTACAGCATAATTAGATACGAGACTTGGAACTAGATGGGGGAGGTAGCAGGAAACACAAACAAGGTCACAAACTTATTGGTTAACTAACAATGTGGTAGTGAGAAAGTAGTTCGAGAGTCAAAAAGATGTTTCCAAGTCCCAACTGCTCCACAAAAGTGGGGTAGAGGTTGACAAAATTAGCAATGTTGTTGAGCTTCTTTTGCGACATTCCAAAAGCTACCAACTGCTACCATTGAAACTAAGATATAATAGGAACCCATAATGTATAAAATAATAAGAAGCAAGACTTTCTTCTAGTCTCCAACGCTATAATGATGCAAGCGGCTTCCAAATGGCTTTGCGTACCAGTGCAGCTGGAATTAGATTTTCTTTAGCAAGTTTCAAAAGATTTAATCCACGTTTGTTGACTAAGTATGAGTTATGAGATGAAGCAATCACATACGGCCTCTATGCTCTGATTCCTTCAAGAGAACTTTTGTCCATGGTGGAATATGAAGGCCCAACCACAAATGCGCAATGGTCAAATATCAAACAGCTAGATGAGTATGACCATTGTTTTTGGGTTCTTATATTACGACGTTTAGTCTTCCAGCGTCCTTTAAATAGAAAACAATCACAAGCTTTACAGTCATGCGTGTGAGGAACCAAACTGCGTCTCAAGCAGAGAGTCAATATTCAATGAAGGCATCAAATTGAAGCTTTTCGCATTCCCTGCAATACCAGAGATTAGTTTCTTACATGTTAACCGAAAGAGTAAAAACCGAAAGCATGAATTGCTATTTCAAAGGTAAATGTGACAAAACAAGACAACAATCATCTTCGTCCAGATATCCTGGTACAGATATTTTTATAAGGTCCTTTGGATGTCCTTAACAAATTTTCAAAACAAAACAGATATATCTAATGTTTATGCTCATAATTCCAGCATTTTTTTTTTACAATAGTTACTCTCAAGGGGTTAAATTACAAACCATTTCCCCAGACATCATCAAAGATTCTTCCAAATGCGTTAACTCACAAAACTTTTTTCCATACTGGGTTATTCCCCAGCAACAGGTGTAAATGCATAAGCTGCTTTCTGCTTCTTTACAGCAAAGGGAGGAATGGAGTTCCATGGCCTCACTCACACTTCATGAATTTCATGATATCAATTTGCTTTCTAGGAGTGTAAAAATGAAATCTATTATTTTCGTCAATCATTGCTCACTAAAAAAGGTATCCAAAAGGCTAGAAGTTGAATCTACATCTCTGGTCTCATCAAAGAATCCATTAGAAGAATTTTCCCTCCTAGCTTTCCTTTCCTGGATTATGGATTCTTCTGTTTCTGTGGAATATTTCCCCTGTTTCACAGGTCTCTCAGCCACAATAAACTTGTGTCCATCACGGCTTCTTTCGGAAAAGCCTGCCCAAACTGAAGATAACCGTGAGTGAGAACTAGAACAACTGTATACAAAAATTTGAAATCTTAGTTGTTTTTTGTCTTCTTGTTTGTGAGGGGGACATCTCCACACCAATTTAGTTCTTGGCTATTAGGTTGTCAAAATCATCACACAATAAGGGTAGCATATGCAGCTCAAAGAAAAAACAAAGGCATGTGCAATGAAGACACAAAAGTTATATATTCAGGGGTGATGTAACTTGTATTTAAGAAAAAGGTAAATGACAGTAGAATGTATAGAAGGTACTTCTGAAATTCTACATTTGGAATGGATGTGCTCAATAAATAGCATGAAACTTTTGACATGAATTAATTCCTAGATTATGGTCCTTTTTTTATAGTTCATTTGTTTATCCTCTAGGGTGGTTCCTTGAGAAAAAACAAAGGCATCTGCCATGATGCCACAAAAAATATATATTCATGTACGATATAACTTGTGTTTATGAAAAAGTTAAATGTGAAAAGGTAATTACAGAAGGTACTTCTGAAATTCTACATTTGGAATGGACCTGTTCAATGTGTTACATGAAACATTCTACATGAATTAATTGCTAGACTATGGTCGTTTTATGGTTCATTGGTTTTATCCTCTTGGGATGTTCAAGGAATCTTAAAATGTGGCAGTAGAAGTAAATATGTAAAACTACAGAACTTATTCAAGAGTACATTTTATACTTCAAAGTAATTTCTGAATCAACAATAACAGTGATGAAAAGTATTTAAATGATCACTTCTGCTTTTAAGAACTTTCTGAATCCCCACACACAAAGATTATTCTCATTCAAATGGAGCACTGCGCATTCTAACATCTGAGCAAATTTACTGGTTAAAGGAGACTAAAATCTTGCAAGCAATAAAAAGGGAGAAAAAAATGTTCTGCATTGATTTCTTACGAGAAAAAATGAAGCACGAACAAAGCAGCAAAATCTAATAAACTTAACCAAACACTCTTATCAGAGCTATCAAACAGGCCTAAAACCTAATAAACAATCCAAGTGCAAGTGTTAATTTCATGCATACCTCCAAAATGATGCAAAACAATAGAAGCTGCGACAGTAACATTTAAAGAAGCAGTACCACTCCCGTACTGTGGAATGTAAACAAAAAAATCACATATCTCACATTCCTTCGTGGAAAGCCCCGTCCCCTGCAACCAAACCCCATTCACAAATCTAAAACCGCAACATCCATTTCCATAAAGAATAAAACAAACCCACATTACAAACTCAATGATTACCTCATTACCAAGCAAAAAAGCAGTACTCCTCTTAAAAGGGTGTTCGTTAACAGGCAAAGCAGAATCTGTTATCTCTACGCCGCAAATATCACAATCTTTCTCCTAATTAAACAGCATAAACCAACATCAGATGAGAATAACAACAACAATAATAATAAGATGTCAAAAAGAAACAAAAGTTGAAAGAAAGAGAGAGACTTTGAGGAAGTTGCGGGCATCAGTGAGAGAGTGGAAGTGGCGAAAAGGGAGGTGAGAAGAGGAGCCGTGGCTGCCGAAAGAGTTGAAGTCTCTGCGGCCAACAAGTATCAGCTCTTTGACGCCAAATGCTGTAGCACTTCTTGCTAGTGTGCCCACGTTGTGTCTCTTTGCAATGTTGTGTACCACTACATAGCTTTCTGTTACCATTTCTCTTCTTCTTCTTCTTGATTTTTCAGTTTTTGCATACAGCTCTGAGAGAATTGGGAAATAAAAGATTTTTGTGGGTTTTTAGGTTTTGCAATTTTTGCTGATTCTTGAAACGACAACGTTTGCAAGATACAATATTACTCACGCCTTCACGTGAGTAAGCTTGACAAAAGACTACAAGAATCAACAACGAAACCTGTATTTGAGCGATTTATGAAGGGAGAGTGATTAGTCAAATACAGTCCATAACTATTGATTAAAAAAAGTCACATTATTCTCTGCTTAATAATTAATTTTTTTTTATTGTTATTTCATATCAACATAATCCTAATTTTTTTAAAAAAATTTAACACGTGGAAAATATCAGGATCAATTTAAAATTGAGACATAATCAATCAAAAATAAATATAAATTACAGATGATAAATTATTAACTATTAAATTCTTACTATTCAGACAATTTTTTCTTTTATATGTTAATCAACGATTAGTGCTGAATTTGTTTTCTAAGAAAAAAAATTGATCTTCTATTCAGTGTTATTGTCTTTAATTTTTTTTTAACACTATACATTTTAAATTGATCAATTATCAATTATCAAACCTTAGTTATTAAAAAATTTGGCAATTAGTTTTTTTCTTTTAGTAAATTTGCATGAAAATCTTTATATTTTACAAAAGCGAATTTTGAAGTAAAAAAAAAAAAAAAAGTGAAAATCATGGAAATAACAATATTTTTTTTTGAGACAATATGAAAAAAAATAACCATTAATTATTTGTGAAAAATCGATAATGGACAAATAATATAATAAAAACAATGAAAAAAAAAACTATGAAATTTTTGTTGTTCAGATCTTATCTTCTTTTGATTATTAATATAAGAGTCAGTGTTTATATATTTAAAAAAATCTTGGTTATATCATCATAGATTAATTATTCATAAATTATTAGACCTCTATTATTGTAAAAAAGATTAGCAATTAATCACTAATTTCTTATAAGGTTGCACGAGGAATAATTATTTGTTTTACAATAATGATTGTTTTTATACTAATTTTGAAAAATAAAAAAGTCAAAAAAAGGAAAATGATCATTTTTTTAAGAGGTTGTATGAAAAAAAAAATCTATTAATTATTTAGAAAAAAATTGATACCGTACAAATAATAAAATAATAAATAATGGAAATTTAAAAGAGAAAGAGAGAGAGAGCTGGGCTGGATGCGAGCCAAACCTTGGCTCCACCAGATCCAAGCACTTGGGCTGGACATAGATATTAATCTAAAATAAAATTCCACACGCAAGTTTCATCATTCCTTAACAATTTGTACTCAGTATAATGAAAACAATCACGCATCTACCGGGATTATTGAAATCTGATTTGTATATGGTTCTGATACCATATAATTTTAATTAAATATATCCAAGCACATAATCACAATGAAAATTATACTTATCTCTTTCTTCCGTTAAGTATTGAAAAAACAATTGTGATATAAAAAAAAACAAGTCTTCTATTCTATATCAATACTTTAAGATGTCGTTTGCTTACAAAGAAGGAAACGTCCAAAATAAAAATACAATAACTAAAATAAAAATTAGAGAATAAAATAATATTTACATTCTCATATTGTGTTTAAAATAATAATAATAAATTAGAATAAAATTTAAAATTTTTAATATCTATTTTTAAGATAAATAAGAATAATGATTAAAGTAATTTCATTAATTATGATGATAGTAAAAATAATAGAGATGATTGTAGTAGTGGTAAAGAAGAAAGAAGAGGAAGAGGTGGTAATAGTGATAATAGTAGTATATTAATAGCAATAATATGTTTTTTTTTAAAAAAATATTAAAACCATCACCATAAGAGGTGGTAGTGGGAAAAAATTGATAATTGTGGTTGTATGATAAAAACAATGATGGTGATAGAGGAATGGTAACAAAATGATAATAATAATTTTTTTTTTTATCACCATTGTCAAGAGGAGGTGGTGGTGGTGGTTGATGAGTGCATAATTAGTATGATTTTTATGCTCTTTTACATTGAAATTTCTTGTGTTTATTGTATTATATTTAGTAAATTAAGATCAAAATAACAATTTCGAATTTTGTAGGAAAAATAGCAAATTAATGCAAAGAAACCCAAAACCAAAGCAAAGAGAAGCACAAGCCACCAAGGAAGCTTGGGAGTCACACGATCGTGCAAATTACAAAGGGAAAACACCATTAGTCATGTGAAATAAAGCAAGAAATCGTGTGGATTGCTCAACAACAAGGTCACACGAGCGAGTAACTTTCCACATGGCCGAGAGGAAGAAAAATGACATGTTTGTGTGAATGTCAAGACTAGAGTACCTTCCAAAAGGAAAAAGGCTTCACACGAGCAATGGCCATTCCACACGGAATGCATTGAAGAAAAGACACGCCCATGTGTGTCAAAGGTCAAAGGTAGAAGAAGTCCACACGAGTAAAATGAAGTTATAGGGAATGAAAAACAAACCCACTCGACCATGTGCCTATGTCCATCATACCATGCAACACCGGTTCTCCAAGGCTCCAAATCTTATGAAATAGAAGAACAAGTCATGTGACTTTACCGAACAAGTCGTGTGACTTTACTAAGCAAATCGTGTGACTATGTGAGACTAGCACGTGTGTTATAATCCTACTTTTAGCTATAAATAATGATGCTAGGGTTTTATTTTTGGATTTTCATTTTCATCGGTCACCATATATAGAAAATCCTCCATTGTAATCGGCTATAAGTAACTAAACACCTATCTTGATTGAAGAAGATTAAAGCTTTTCGTTAAATCGTTGTGAGATATTAATGAATTTTAATTCTAAACTTATCCTTTTTTAGTATTTTATGTATTTCCGCATGCTTTGGTTATGGTTGTGTGATTACTTGATTAGAATGTACGCTAATTGCTTGATCATCATAATCTATTGCTAGCTAACTATTCAAATTCGTGTAATTGTTTGTCTAAAGTTGCATGTGGTAATAATTAAAGGTTAATGATTATAAATATATTTTTGTTTAATTTAAGAAAAACATAGAACTAGATTACATCTTTGTATCATCTAGGAGGGTAATTTAGCTTCACTGTCTTTTTCTACTTTAATACTGTTATTGGATTAAATCTATCTAACATCTAGTAGGTTGTTCAATTGCTAGGGAATTAATAAAGTATTGTATATTTGGTTAAAATCACTAAGTAAAGATTGGGGACAACATACATGTTGTTGTCTTACATTGAATATTCATGTTAAGGATAGATTTATAATTGAATCAATGATCAATGACTAAACCAAAAGTGGATATGAAATTCAACCAAGGCCTTTCTCCATTATTGTTATTTCTAATTATTTTTTATTACTTACAAATTACTACAAACACAAATCCCCCTTTAATCCCTTTGCACTATAGAAAAATCAAACAATAGAAACCATTAATTAGGTCATTTTCTTATGGGTTCAACCCTTGCTTGCCCTATCTACACCCTTATAATTGGGTTTCATGAGAAAAATAAATAACTAATTTCTTGGCGATTCGACATGCCATCGGTGGTGGAAGAAATAGTTAATACATAAAAAATAAAAATAATATATCACTATTTTGAAGAAAAAAAATTATTCTTATTCGTTATTTTTATTGTCACCTCCTCATGAGAATGAAAGAAACTATTTTTAATGTTCATTCATATTCTCATACTTTATTCTCATTTTTACTTCATTTTTTTTAATTAAACACCTATAAAATAAGAATAAAACTGTTACTTTCATTTCTACCATTCTATTATATATATGAATAAATGACGTAAGACTTTATGTAATATTTATATTTTTAAACTAAATATCCTTTCTTTTACCTATTTTTTATATTTTTTTATAATTTAATTTTTATACTTCCATCTATTATGAATGTTTCTTATCCAACATTAGAATTTAGTGAGCTTTATTTTTTTAATTGTTGCATTTAGATAAAGTTTTTATTCATAATGTACCTAACCTATCACTAGAATCCAATGTACTCGTTCGATAATCTTCACTTACAAAGAGAGACTGCATTAAAAAAATATTTCTTAGATAAAAAAACTAAATTTTCTAGTGGAATCAAACTCATTGAAATAGATTATATGACAATTACGGATTATCGAACAAAAGCTCATAATTATTGAACAAGTTTGAATTCAAAATTGGAAACAACAACATTTATTATGTTAAATAAAACAATAATATCAAGCTTAATTTTCCAAACCCATTACCTCATATCACACAAAATTCTTCCTTAAAAAAATTACGGTAGCTTATGCCATCAACATTGATTAGAGAAGTAGCAACCACCAACGACTTCTTCTTTGTCCGACTTTCCCCACTAATCAATGATGAGTATCATGATTGATGGAAACAAAATAAACAACTCCTAATCTTCTTTCCAAATAAACAACAATTAGCTAGTGGTGTACGATGATAAAATCAACAGTTTCTATAAAAAAAATAAATGTACTCTTTCTTAATTAGTCTTAATTATTTTTTTCTTTTCTTAAATCCATAGAAAATTAGGATATATGAATTTCAATTCTCTAATTTTTTTTAGTACAGCTCAAACATGTGTTCCGCAAACATTATGCTCAACATGTCGCCAATATTGATGTTGTGAATGAAAGGTTTTAAATAGGTTTAATCATATCATACGTCTCTCTACTATTGATATTTTCTTAATATGACCCTTGTATTTTTTTTTATTCATTCCTTCATGTACTTTTTAATTTTTCTTAATATGACTCCTCTCACTTAAATCCAATCAATATTCTAGTTAGTGATGATATATAGTAAAACAATTGCCAAATGGGGTGGCACATCAAAAATAATTGTCCACGTAGCCTAAAAAATACATGCTAATATCCGAAAACCAGTTAAATAAAAGGAAAAAAACCAAGTATAAAAGAAAAAGTTCATTTTCTCCCTACTATCACAATCGAGAGAGATTAAACTAGA